TTTACACTAGATTAGCTGTGGATTTTATTGTCATCAGTTAAATCTATGGGGTGGCTGTACAGGAAATGATTGATAAATAATTTATAAACTCGTAATTTGTTACTGTACCAGATAAGGTGTGTTTACATTGGCCAAGCGTTCTTTCCTGTAATTCACCTGTTCAGTTGGCAGGAACATCTAGCCATAGCCTTTCAGTTCCATGTGTGGGTGTGCATTAGTTTATCATTAGAACAAAGGTTTATTGAAATAAAATCATTGACACCTGCCGAAATGTCAACTTAATAAAAAAACGTCTTTCTGGGTATTTAAGGGCAATTTCAGTTTCATTTCTAAATGCACTTGTGCTAATGTTAATCTGTACTAAGAGGAAATAATTCCAATCAGTGCAATATAGTTTTCTAGTTTGCAAAAAATAAGATTAAAAAATAATGAAAACAGTAGGTTATTAAAAATATTGGCAGAAAAAAAGCTTTTTCACCGAAAATAATATAATTCTACCAAACACACTCACTCACTATTTGCGTTTATTTATTTATTTCAAAATAGTATTATTGATACATTTAAAAACAACATGTCCGGAAATTAGAACCCTAGGAGGAAATTTGGCACTAAAATAAAATGGGCAACAGAAGAGGATAAAACATCAGGACGGGGGAGCTTTATTTTTATCAGTTTTCACTATTCATTTGTTCATGTTTCAAATATCCCTGGTGCCTGATCTGATAACCCAACTTGAAGAACTATCCTGGATCGGTTTCTGGAGTTCATTTTCAGTCAGTGCTCAATAAACAACTGCGTTGACTTACAGATAGTTTTCAAGTAATTTTTTTGTTTACTAAAAAAAACAAACATAATTTTCTCTAGATTTTTATAATAATTTAGGCTTCCTGTATTCCCGAAGAAGCATCTTTGCATGTCCCAAACATCTAAGGCAGTCAGTAGATCTGACTCACACTTATTTCGGAGTGACGCTTTAAATATCATTCCATATTTAAAACCCATAAAGGAAAATGTTTTATAATCAATGGATATACTTTACTAAAAGTGTGAAATGTTTAAATAACAACGTATCACTGCTGGTATGGTAAATCGACAAACATTCTAACCATCAATCCCTTATTAGTAGGATTGCAATCTCCTGATATCTTTTCTTTGGAGACTTGGCAAAATAAGACTTAATGTTATCTATATTCAGTTCTTTACCATGCACAGCTGTTATCTCTGCTCAGCAATCCATCACCCTTGTCTCTTTTATGATGAAATTTCCATGAAAAGTATTGCATCCCCAAAGAGTCTCTGCTGAACCTGACCAAGCACCACATGATACTGAGGAAGAGACCTTTCCCTTTTCTGCTTTGTGTTGAACACTCAGGTCAAGTCTATAGACCCGCCAACAGTAGGCCTGGGCACTTTAGATGTACCATATTAGGTTACAGTAGACTTCTCGGAGTGAGATCCACCATACATTATTTTTTACAAATTAAGAACCTATGAATTTGTTTGTGGCTTAGCAAAATTGAACACAATGCTATCAACAGTGCTAATTGCTGAATTTATATTGCATATATTTATGTAAGTAACAATCATACATCTTCTCAAATCAGATTTTATGGACTGTCATTAAAGGACCACTATAGGCACCCAGACCACTGCAGCTTAATGAAGTGGTCTGGGTGCCAGGTCCAGCTAGGTTTAACCTTTTTTTTTTTTTTATAAACATAGCAATTTCAGAGAAACTGCTATGTTTATATTAGGGTTAATCCAGCCTCTAGTGGCTGTCTCATTGACAGCCGCTAGAGGGCTTCCGCGCTTCTCACTGTGATTTTCACGCGCATTCAGCCGGTGACGGAAGAAGAGGGAGGAGAGGAGGAGGGACTATTATGTTTTCCTGGCACTATAGTGGTCCTTTAAGTCCTATTCTTAGATTAACCCATACAAGGTAATAAAACCATTTTCCATCCAATAAGGTAATTTTTATAAATGTCTGTGGAACCCGCAGTCTTTACACCAGAACTCGTTCGTAACAGCAAACCCTGTGCAGTTAACAGCAGTTAGGAAAATGTTTGTAGCAGTTCAAATGCTAATGTTAGGAATACAGATAGGGATAATTTAATTGTTACAAGGTGGTGGAGGTCAGATACTGGCAGAGTAAATAGATACTGACACACTGGTTGCGGCAAGCAGTGTTAATTTTGTCAACTAACAATTTTAGTCAGATTTTAGTCGTCTAAAATGTTTGATATTTAGTCGACTAAAACTATACTAAAACTAAAACAATTCAGATGACTAAAATACGACTAAAACCAAAATGGCTGTTAAGTCAAAAGACTGTGACTAGAGTTGAGCGAACCCGAACTGAAAAGTTCGGGTTCGTACCGAACATTAGGTTTTTTGGACCGCGGACCCGAACACGGACATATCACTGTATGTTTGAGTTGTAGTTCGGTGTTCGTCGATTTAATGGTGCATTTTGAAAGGCTGCAGGGCAGCCAATCAACAAGCGTTTGACTCGTGTGTCCTTAGAAGCCATCACAGCCATGCCTACTAATGGCATGGCTGTAATTGGCCAGTGCAGCATGTGACCCAGCCTCTATATATAAGCTGGAGTCATGCAGCGCCACACGCACATGCGGTCTTATTAGTGTAGGGAGAAGATGCTGCCCCTGATGGGGGCAGCTTAGATAAGAATTCTGCAAACTAGTACATTAGTGGGGTGGGGTGCACTTCATATCTGAGAGTCAAATAGAAGCTTCAAATACCGCGGTTACATCTGAGTTTTAAAAAGTAATTTTTTTTTGTGCTAAATAGTACATTAGTGGGGTAGTACATTAGTGGGGTGCACTTCATATCTGAGAGTCAAATAGAATCGTCAAACACTGCTGTCACATTGCAGTTTTAAAACTTAAAATTTTTTGGGGTCCTAAACTGCTAAATTGTATTTTAGTGGGGTGCACTTCATATCTGAGAGTCAAATCGACGCGTCTAATAGTGTGCTTTCTGCGAACTTGTAAACATTCTAATTTTTTTGCTGCTAATCTGCTGCTTACATTGGAGTCAATTGTTATTTTTTATTTTCTTTGGGTGCTAAATAGTATATTTGGGGTGTTCACTTCATATCTGAGAGTCAAATCGAAGTGTAACTTTGATTCGAATTTACTACATCGGTCACTTGTAATATTGTTTCACACCTACAACACTTGTTACACAGATCTAAGTGATAGAAAAGAGATTGATATTTTCTACACTAGAAACTACCAGATAACAAGCTGCTATATTTAAACCAGTTATCAATAGCTAAGAGGTACTTCAACAATATTGTAATTCTGGGGCAGTATCCTCACAAGTCAAACTGAGAGGTCAGTATATAGGGAAAACTGTTGCCTGGAGGAAATTCTAAAACAATTTCCATTTGTCCTTTGCAGACTTTACATGCAGGAAAAACACAGGTGCCAACTGCTGTGGCTTTCTGCAGTGTGCATACCGACAAGGAGGGCAGGGTTGAGGAGTGGGTGGAAGATGATGTGGAGGATGATGAGGTCCTAGCCCCCACATGGAATCAAGGTCATGTGAGTGACGTGTGCAGTTTGGAGGAAGAGGCGCTGGTCGCACAGAGGCACCAGCACATCATAAGAGGAAGCAGGTTGCAAAAGCGGAGCGGCCGTCCCCTAGCACTCGTCGGCATGTATTAGCTTCAGAATTACCAGTTATCCAAGTAATACATGTACCCAGGCCCGGACTGGCCATCGGGCACACCGGGCAAATGCCCGGTGGGCCGCGGTGGCCATGGGCCGAGGCCGGCAGGGGAGGTCCCAGGACATCCCCTGCCGGTCTATGCAGGGGCGGCACTATGCGAGCGCCGGCCCCGCTGTCTTCCATGGAGGGCCGGTGGGGAGATCAAAGATCTCCCTCACCGGCCCATTTAAACAGACCTGCGGCTGGGGAGGGAGGGAGAGGACCCGGCGAAGCTCTATCTTGCAGCTCCGCCGGGTTCCTCTCGCGAGATCCGGCGCGTTGCCATGGCAACGACCGGATCTCGCGAGAGTGAACTCTAGCCCGCAGGCTAGAGTTCACTCACCACTGGACCACCAGGGATGATGTGAGTGTGCCGGTCCCCCCTCCTCCCAGCTACCACCATGCCGGTCCCCCCTCCCAGGCTAAAGGTAAGAGGGAGGGGGGATTTAATGCCTACTTAGGTTTTTTTTTTAAATTTCTTTATTTACCCCCCCCTTAGTTTTTTATTTACCCCAACACACATTTACACACAGCACTCTCACACACATCATACACAGCACTCTCACACTCATCACACTCTGCACTCTCACACACATCATCATACACAGCACTCTCACACTCATCACACTCTGCACTCTTACACACAGCACTCTCACACTCATCACACTCTGCACTCATCACACTCTGCACTCTCACACACATCATACACAGCACTCTCACACTCATCACACTCTGCACTCATCACACTCTGCACTCTCACACACATCATACACAGCACTCTCACACTCATCACACTCTGCACTCTCACACACATCATACACAGCACTCTCATACTCTGCACTCTCACACACATCATACACAGCACTCTCACACACATCATACACAGCACTCTCATACACAGCACTCTCACACTCATTACACTCTGCACTCTCATACACAGCACTCTCACACACAGCACTCTAACACACATCATACACCGCACTCTCATACACACA